CGGTGTTGAAAAACTCATCGAAAATGTATACTTAAAATGTGTTTATGACGATTATACGTAGAGTCACTCAATATCTAGTCAGTCAATAAAATTGTGAGCAAGTAATGGTTTCGAAACTTTCAGAATACTGATATGAGGAGTATTGCAAGGCGATTTGGTTACTACTCGTTTGAGTAAGTATCGATACTTTCTCAGTATCGTATCGTCCCTAGGAGCAAGCGGCCAATCAATCGCATATGCTGTCCAATTCATCATGGTTTCGTGGAGCAAAGCATAAAAGCGCAATTATTCACTGCGTGTGCGATAAACACTCGGCCGGAATGTGAACGAATTAATCACCTTTAAGAACACGTTTGCCTAATCAAATTCAATGCGGCCGCGTTCTTGCAGCGCAACGGAAAAAATGCCTGTGGATTCGTCGTTGGCCTTAAGGCTGCGATATAAAACCCAGATAATTCTTCAGCTGTCAGGAAGATAAATTTGTTTCCATCGCGGGCGCCCCTGACTTTCTCGAGCAGAAATTTGTCTAATTATTGTTCGCTGATTAATGATGTGGTAAACTGGATTTTATTGGATATTAATTATTCGTTTTTTTCGTAATTGTAATTAAATTGCCCCCCTCGTGCTGTTTAATTGTTTGCTCAGCCGTCACTGCCGCGCACATTCATTATACTCTGGCAGGCAACTTTGGGTTTCGTAATTTAACTTTTTTTTCGTAGTTTGTGTCGAAGCTGGGGGTGAGGCAATTGTGTCGTTTCATGAGTTGAAACAGCGCATTTATTTCCTGGCTGTTCCAAGCTTGAAGTTTCCCCTGAACGTTCACTGGCAATTTTTCTCTGGTATCCCAACAGAAAAAACGTCCATCCAAGTATCATAATCGCGAATAGCAGCGGGTACCGAGCGCAATGAATGTGCTCGGAACTAAAAGGCGTTAAATCAGACAGCGGGTTTTCAGTGTCTGTATCTCAAACTAAGCGCTCCCGTGGGGCCCAATTAACCCGGAAAGTTAAGGCCCCATATGTTTCACTCCGATATGACCGAAAGTATGCTCAAGAGATTAACTGAAAAGGTACAAAGCGAATAAGGCTGTTCGAGTGATTAGTGTTGGATTCGCTCGCTTTAGGAAACTCATAATTCTAAGATTGTGCAAATGTAAAGGGGAAAAGCCCGGTTGGAGGCATCCAATGGTCCAGAAGGCATCAATGGTGCAACCTCCTGCTTACTGACCGTTGAACGGAGTGAATTGAATAATGTTCACAGGCAAAACTGAAACTCTTGACTGTTTTTCCGAAAAAACTTGAAACTGGAACGCATATTTGCATATCTGAAACGGATCCTTGCAGGCAAAGTCAAAATGAGGTTGATGTAAAAATTCAAAACCGCCCAAAATATTCCGAAAGTTTAAAAATTAACTGCGAAAGAACATGCCATCTTCAGCCGACGATTTCTTCCTTATTATTGACCCAAACACTTTATAAATGCATAYTGGKCACCTTCTTACGTCGAAAAGAATCGATTGAGCTCAAAAATCACGCATGTGAAATTTTGATTTTTGSCCGAAATTTTTCSAAGTGTGGGGGTCGATTTTTTGAAAAATGAAAATGTTCTCAAAATATCTTGAATTTTACATCATTTTTAGCTCACGGACGCGAGGAATGCACCGAACTCATTGAAAAACATGCTAGAAGTTTCAGATCCGAAATAATAGACGTTTTTGGCACATTTTAAGGGTTTTTTGACCGTTCACGATCTTTAACCGGCGATTTCTTCCTTATTGTTGACC